GGGAGAAGGAGCTCCTTATATCAATGGTCAGTGTAGTGGTCCCATGTATTGGTGAACAATATTGAGTTGGCCCCGCCCTTTGCAGCTATAACAGCTTCAACTCTTCTGGGAAGGCCGTTTAAGGTTTAGGAGGGTGTCTATGGGAAGGTTGGACCATTCTTCCAGAAGCACATTTGTGATGTGCACTGATGTCGGGGGAGGAGGCCTGGCTCGTAGTTTCCATTCTAATTCATCCCAAAGGTGTTCTATCAGGTTGAGGTCAGGACTCGGTGCAGGCCAGTCAAGTTCCTCCACCCCAAACTCGCTCATCCATGTCTTTATGGACCTTGCTTTGTGCACTGGTGTGCAGTCATGTTGGGAGCATGGAATTATCCAAAATGTCTTGGTATAATGACGCCTTAAGAGTTCCCTTCTCTGTCACTGCAGAGGACATGTCTCCACTGCTCTAGAGTCCAGTGGTGGCGTGCTTTACACCGATGCTTTGCATTGCACTTGGTGATATAAGGCTTGGATGCAGCTGCTCGGCCATGGAAACCCATTCCTTGAAGCTCTCTACGCACTGTTGTTGTGCTAATCTGAAGGCCACACCAACTTTGGAGATCTTTAGCTATTGACTCTGCAGATAGTTGGTGACTTCTGTGCACTGTGCTCAAGGAGCTAATAAGTGGACAGGGGGTGAATAGGGGACAGGAAGGTGATGAAGGGGAAGAAAGGAGGAGCAGGACAGTGAAGAGGGGGTACGGGGGGTACAGAGAGGAAAGGAAAGAGGGTGAAGATAGAGATAGTGCAGTGGAAAGGGGGGAGAAGAGTGGGACAAGGCAGCAGAAGGGGATGTGATGGTGAAGAAGGGGATGAGAGATGAAGAGGGGTACAGGACAATGAAGAGGGGGTAGAGATGGGCAGAATGGGGCTGAAAATTGGGGTGAGAACATGGAGTGTAGTTAGGGATAGAATAGGGTACATGGGGGCATTGTCTCCTGGAAGTGGAAAGCTGGGTTGATATCACACATTCAGTGCAGATAGGGAGTGGAGAGCAGTTCCCGAGCAAGGTGGTGGGACATAGAAAAGGCCACCCCTCCCCTTCCACCAGGACCCCACACAGCTCCCTCATCCCCCTTCTTCCACCACACACAGGGCCCCTGATGACTCTCATAAACACACAGAGCCCTCCTCCAGGCACTACAACCTCTCAGAGGGTGGGATAAAACAGCGAGAAGCCATGACTTCTATATACCTGGCAGGGTTGGAGAAGCCAGGCACTCATCACTGGACACACCGCAGGAGGAGCATCCAGAGAGAAGCCCATTCCACACACTCTGCCCAGCGTCCTGATTGGTCCAGAGAGCAGGAAAGTCTCTTGAGTGTTCTCTGATACCCACCCAATGCTGATCACTACGTGCTCATTGGCTACTTACAGCCCCAACTTAGCTGTAGTTTGGTCATTAAATGCCTGGCCTCAAACACCTTTACACCTTACGATCTGATTCTCAGAAACAGCCCGAGGAGCAGACATTGTGGAACAAATTGCTAAAAAGTGTAACTGTCCTGGCAAATTCAAGACTATCCACCTAACATACAGTACGTATACCAATCAGTTATAACATTATGACCACCCACCTAGTATTGAATAGGTTTCCCTTTTTGCTGTCAAAAGAATCCTGAGGAGGTATGGACTCCACTAGACCTCTGAAGGTATGCTGTGGCACCAAGCCATCAGTAGCGGATCCTTTAAGTCCTGTAGGGTGTGTGGTGGGGCCTCCATGGATTGGACTTGTTTTGCCAGTATATCCCACAGTTGGATTAAAATCTAGAAAATTTGGAGGCCAAGTCAGCAGCTAAAAAAACCTTCTTCCATTACTTTGTGGACCAGTTCTGATGCTCGTGTCCCCATTGTAGGCACTTTTGGCTGTGGTCACGGGTCGGCATGGGCACCCTTACCAGTCTGCGGCTACACAGCCCCATACACAACAAACTGTGATGCTCTTTGTGTTCTGACACCTTTCTAGTAGAACCAGTATTCACTCTTTCAGCAATTTGATCCCTGGTAGCTCTTCTATTGAATCAGACTACACAGACCAGCCTTCACACCCCACCTCCATCAGTGGCCACCCATGACCCTGTTGCCAGTTCTCCAGTTTTCCTTCCTTGGACCACTTTTGGCTGATTCTGACCACTGAAGACTGGGGACATCCCAGAAGAGCTGCAGTTTTTTTAGTTGCTCTGACCCAGTCATCTAGTCAATGCAATTTGACCCTCGTCAAAGTCGCTCAAATATTTCCAACACATCAACTTCAGGGACAACATGTTCACTTGGCGCCTGATATATCCCACCCAATTTCAGATGCCATTGTCACAAGATAATCATTGTTATTCACCTTACTGGTCAGTGGTCATAATCTTACGACTGATCGGTGTACAGTACATACACACAGTACAAGGCTGGGTTCACAATCTAGGATGTTTCTCAGGGCAACAGTTCCTCTGAGCTCCACAAGACAGTGATATCACTTCTACCCAGACAGGAAGTCTCTATGGAATACAAGCAGGAAGTGATGTCAGGTACAGACAAGAAGTGGTCAGGTACAGAGAGGATGTGATGTCATGCACGGACAGGAAGTTCTCGGTGAGTGGGGAGGAAGTAGAGAGGAGACGTTGGTGGAAGTGGCAGCAGAGGAGGTAATAAGATGTTATTTCCTATTACACACGAATAACTCCCCATCATGTCCATCCTCTTCCTCCATGCCCATCCGTCCTTCCTCCATAGCCACATCCGTCCTCTTCCTCCATAGTCACGTCCGTCTTCCTACATGGTCATGTCCGTCCTCTTCCTCCATAGTCCTCCTCTTCCTCCATAGTCACGTCCGTCCTCTTCCTCCATAGTCACGTCTGTCCTCTTCCTCTTCCTCCATAGTCACGTCCGTCCTGTCCGTCCTCTTCCCCATAGTCACATCCGTCCTCTTCCCCCATAGTCACGTCCGTCCTCTTCCTCCATAGTCACTGTGACATCTTTTATCTCCAGCAGATGATGATACACACATATATAGTGTGGGAACCCAGATTAACCCCTTCAGGGGCACAGCATTCCCCCACTTCCGGGGCCGGGACATTCTCCTCATTGTGGAGATGGGTCACCTACTCACCTCTAACAGACTATACAACTTTTGTCGGGGATGGGGGGGTTGTTTCGGGGAGATTGGAATATGTTTGTCTTTATTTTATAACATTCTAATAAGAAGAAAGATGGAAAATTTAATTTGTAGGAAATGTCCTGAAAACTAATTACTCCATAATGATCCCGATCTCAGATATTCATCCTGAATTGTGATCAGTAAAGTCTCCAGAGAACACGGAGATCACAGGGATAGGATGTGTCATGGCAAAGCCCAAAGACAACGTTCATCTTTCAGTTTAGGAGAGGTGGGACGCACCCGGGAGAAATTATTCTGTGTACAGAAACCTCACAGAGCGCCCCCCACAGCTCCTCCTCCCAATGTCCTCCAATTAGAGTCAGAGAATCCTATGACATCACACTGACCTCACAGCTCCTCCTCCCAATGTCCCTCCATCCGGAGTCAGAGAATCCTATGACATCACACTGACCTCACATCTCCTCCCAATGTTTTCCAACCAGAGTCAGAGAATCCTATGACATCACACTGACCTCACAGCTCCTCCTACCAATGGATCCAGTAATGGGAACCCACCAGAGAGATGTCCCCATCCTCTGTATTCCCGGGATTCCACACAGGAAGATCACACCATCCCTGACCATCATCCGGTAGATAATTGACAATTATTTGTTTTTATTTTTTATAGACCGCATGTTTGAAAGATAAAATAGAACAATCATTGTAACAGAGTGGAATCCTCGGGGATGATAATATTGATGTTAAAGAAGAGTATAAAGAGGAGGATGAGGAGTATGGAGTGATGGAGGAGTTTTCAGAAGGACACAAGGATATGATGGAGCCACCTAATACCAGGAACCCACCAGAGAGATGTCCCCGTCCTCTGTATTCCCGGGATTCCACACAGGAAGGTCACACCATCTCTCACCATTACAAGGTTGGTAGGACAGAGCATCTCCAACATGGACTTGTGGAGACAATGTGTGAATTTTCTTTAATGTGATGTCACAATTTTAAAGCTCATATTGTACAGATGTTATTGTTGATCCTTGTCTTGGTTTAGGGTGAAGATCTGATTGATATAAAAGTTGAGGTTAAAGCAGAAGAAGAGGAGGCGTATGTGAGGGATGATCAGCAGTCTATGGAGGAGGATGGAATAACGGGGACATTTATAGAGGAGGACACTCCTACAGAGATCAGCACAGGTGGGGGTCATGAACACTAAATCCATTCCTCCACCATACTGCTCACTGATTGGTCCAGAGTAGGGCGGGGACTGGGTGATATCAGCCTGTAATCCCCTGGTCACTTTCCTGAGCTGTGTTCCCCGTCCTGTATTGGTGCGCCAGAACTGTGGGTACACTGCGCTAAACGTGTTGCAGAAAAAAAAACTGCACTATATCAGTGTGAAAGGGCTCTAAAGTCCATGAATAAAGAAATGACCTGGTAGGAGATCAGAGGAGCCATTTCCTAGTTCCCTTGAGGGTGGAATTGTAAGCTCCTCAGAGACCAAGCTGCCTGATGTGGGTGGAGTCCTGGTTTGGGGGAACCAATCAGCTCCTGTCTAGTAATCCTCTTTGTCTTTGTATTTTAGTCCATGGCCGGGAGATGAGGAAAACCTCCAAGGATTGTCTCACTTTGTCTCCAGACTGGAAAGTAGAAGATGAGGACATCACACAGTATAGTCCAGGAGAAAACCCGGCTCCCTCCAATGTCCATCCGGCACCACCCAGTGTAGATGGACCATCGGATTCCTCGTATCCTGAGGAACCTCAGACTGTGCTGGATCGGGCCATCCTTCATACAGATAACAGATTTTCCTGTACTGAGTGCGGGAAGTGTTTCTATTTTAAACATCATCTTTATGTGCATAAAAGATCTCACACAGGTGAGAAGCCACATTCATGTCCTGAGTGCGGGAAATGTTTTTCACAGACATCCAATCTCTACAGACATCAGAGATCCCATACAGGGGAGAAGCCGTATTCCTGTCCTGAGTGTGGCAAATGTTTTTTGCATAAATCACATCTGACCTCACATCAAAGGTCTCACACAGGTGAGAAGCCATTTTCTTGCCTGGAGTGCGGGAAATGTTTTTCAGAGAAGGCAATTCTTTATGATCATCAAAGATTGCACACGGGTGAGAAGCCGTATTCCTGTCCGGAGTGCGGAAAATGTTTTTTTAAGGAATTCCACTCTTTCCGTACATCTGAGATCTCACACAGGGGAAAAGCCGTATTCCTGCCCTGAGTGCGGGAAATGTTTTGTACAAAAATCAAATCTTGTCAGACATCAAAGGTCTCACATGGGGAAAAGCTGTTTTCCTGGATTGAGTGCGAAATGTTTTGTAAATAAACCACACCTTGTTTTATATAAAAAGGTCTCACATAAGGGAGAATTAGTATTCTTGTCCTGAGTGTGGAAAATGTTTTTCACAGAAGTCCAATCTTTACAGATATCAGAGATCTCACGGTGTTCCTGTCCTGAGTGAGGGAAATGTTCCTCACTGAAGTCCTGCCTTCCTGTACATCAGGGATCTCACACAACCCTCGATGTATTAGTGCCTTGAGTGCGGGAAATGTCTTCTAGATGAATGTTGCTGGACACCCCAGCTCTCATGTGGGGAAGAAGCACACCCTGATATACACCTCAGATATACTCCATGGCTGATCTTCACTATGGAAGAAACAGTTCATAAGGAGATCAGAGGTCACCAAAGACATGGATGAATAGAAGTCTTTGTGACTTCTATCAGTGTCCAGCAGAGCACATGTTAAAGCTTGTAGGAGGAGTTTCCTTTCTGCTCTAGCAGGATGCAGGGCCCCTGCCCTCTGTCTGGACAGGGCTGATTGGTCCTGTGCTGATCACATGCATTCTCCCAAGGAAAAAAAAAAAAGCCTCTCTAGCAGTAGGACAGTGTTTTAGCAGGACTGGAGCGGAGGTAGGGACTTTGATACCAAATTCGACCAGCCACTAAGCACCTTTCAGAGGCCAAAGTAATGGCAACCAGAAACACAACCGTGCAAGTCAAAAGAACTAACGGTCTCAAACAGATTTTTGTAACACAGGAGGAACCAAATTGAGATCCCATAAGGACAAGGGCAGTCTGACCAGAAAAACAACACACATGATGCATAGGCACGCACCATTAAATTCTCATCAGCAGGGTCCGGGGAGAGCGGGTATAGTGAATGCCGGGTCCGGGGAGACCAGATATAGTGAATGCAGGGTCCGGGGAGACCAGATATAGTGAATGCAGGGTCCGGGGAGAGCGGATATAGTGAATGCGGGGTCTGGGGAGACCAGATATAGTGAATGCAGGGTTGAATGCAGGGTCCGGGGAGACCAGATATAGTGAATGCAGGGTCCGGGGAGAGCGGATATAGTGAATGCGGGGTCCGGGGAGAGCGGGTATAGTGAATGCGGGGTCCGGGGAGACCGGATATAGTGAATGCGGGGTCCGGGGAGAGCCGGATATAGTGAATGCGGGGTCCGGGGAGAGCAGGTATAGTGAATGCAGGGTCCGGGGAGACCGGGATATAGTGAATGCAGGGTCCGGGGAGACCGGATATAGTGAATGCGGGGTCCGGGGAGAGCGGATATAGTGAATGCGGGGTCCGGGGAGAGCGGATATAGTGAATGCAGGGTCCGGGGAGAGCGGATATAGTGAATGCAGGGTCCGGGGAGCGACCGGATATAGTGAATGCAGGGTCCGGGGAGACCGGATATAGTGAATGCAGGGTCCGGGGAGACCGGATATAGTGAATGCCGGGTCCGGGGAGACCGGATATAGTGAATGCAGGGCCCGGGGAGAGCGGATATAGTGAATGCGGGGTCCGGGGAGAGTGGATATAGTGAATGCGGGGTCTGGGGAGAGCGGATATAGGGAATGCAGGGTCCGGGGAGATCGGATATAGTGAATGCAGGGTCCGGGGAGAGCGGATATAGTGAATGCGGGGACCGTGGATAGAGTGAATGTGGAGTCCGGGGAGACCAGATATAGTGAATGCGGGGTCCGTGGAGAGCAGATATAGTGAATGCGGGGTCTTGAGAGAGCGGATATAGTGAATGCGGGGTCCGGGGAGAGTGGATATAGTGAATGCAGGGTCCGGGGAGAGCGGATATAGTGAATGCGGGGACCGCGGATATAGTGAATGCGGGGTCCGGGGAGACCAGATATAGTGAATGCAGGTTCCGGGGGAGAGCGGATATAGTGAGTTTGGGGTCCGGGGAGAGCGGATATAGTGAATGCAGGGGTCCCGGGAGACTGGATATAGTGAATGCGGGGTCTGGGGGGGGGGGGATATAGTGAATTTGGGGGTCTGTGGAGAGCGGATATAGTGGATGCGGGATCCGGGGAGAGAGGATATAGTGAATGCAGGGTCCGGGGAGAGAGGATATAGTGAATGCAGGGTCCGGGGAGACTGGATAAAGTGAATGCGCGGGGTCCAGGGAGAGCAGATATAGTGAATGCAGGGTCCGGGGAGAGTGGATATAGGGAATGTAGGGTCCGGGAGAGCTGATATAGTGAATGCGCGGGGTCCGGGAAGAGCGGATATAGTGAATGCGCGGGGTCCGGGGAGAGCGGATACAGTGAATGCGCGGGGTCCGGGGAGAGCGGATATAGTGAATGCGTGGGGTCCAGGGAGAGCGGATATAGTGAATGCGCGCTGTCCGGGGAGAGCAGCATATATAGTGAATGCGGGGTCCGGGGAGACTGGATATAGTGAATGCGGGGTCCGGGGAGACTGGATATAGTGAATGTGGGGTCCGGTCAAGGGAGGACTGGTTAAAGTGAATGCGTGGGGTCCGGGGAGAGCGGATATAGTGAATGCGCAGGGTCCGGGGAGAGCGGATATAGTGAATGCGGGGTCAGGGTGAGAGCGGATATAGTGAATGCGGGGTCCGGGGAGAGGGGTCCGACTGGATGTAGTGAATGCGGGGTCTGAGGGAGAGCGGATATAGTGAATGCAGGGTCCGGGGTGACTGGATATAGTGAATGAGGGGTCCGGGGAGACTGGATGTAGTGAATGCAGGGTCTGGGGAGAGCGGATATAGTGAATGCAGGGTCCGGGGTGACTGGATATAGTGAATTCGGGGTCCGGGGAGACTGGATGTAGTGAATGCAGGGTCTGGGGAGAGAGCGGATATAGTGAATGTAGGGTCCGGGGTGACTGGATATAGTGAATGCGGGGTCCGGGGAGAGCGGATATAGTGAATGCGGGGTCTGGGGAGAGCGGATATAGTGAATGCGGGGTCTGGGGAGAGCGGATATAGTGAATGCGGGGTCCGGGGAGACTGGATATAGTGAATGCGGGGTCCGGGAGAGCGGATATAGTGAATGCGGGGTCTGGGGAGAGCGGATATAGTGAATGCGGGGTCTGGGGAGAGCGGATATAGTGAATGCGGGTCCGGGGGAGAGCGGATATAGTGAATGCGGGGTCCGGGGAGAGCAGGTATAGTGAATGCAGGGTCCGGGGAGACCGGATATAGTGAATGCGGGGTCTGGGAGAGACCGGATATAGTGAATGCAGGGTCCGGGGGAGAGCGGATATAGTGAATGCAGGGTCCGGGGTGACTGGATATAGTGAATGCGAGGTCCGGGGTGACTGGATATAGTGAATGCGAGGTCCGGGGTGACTGGATATAGTGAATGCCTGTCTTTGTCATGTCTCCACTTTTCTCCAAATTGGGGTTGCAATGCAATTGGCCTTGAATAGTCAAGTAGGAGATATCAGCCTTGGCAGTCTTTTTTTAGCAATCGTTTCTCATTCCTTGGTGCAGGCCTATGCGTCGTGTGTGTTGTTCCTCTGGTCAGACTTCCCTTGTCCCTATGGGATCTCAATTTGGTTCCTCCTGTGTTACAGAAATCTCTTAGAGACCTTACCTTTAGTTCCTTTGACTTGCACGGTTGTGTTTCTGGTTGCCATTACTTTGGCCTCTGAAAGAGGGGCTTAGTGGCTGGTCAAACTTGGCACCAAAGCACAAGTCCCTACCTCCGCTCCAGTCCTGCTAGAACACTGTCCCTCCTGCTGAGGCCCAACCCTTCACCATCTTGTGCCCTGCTCCTTGCCATAGGCCTCCATGTGACATTCACAGCCATAGACATTAATATCCCCAGGGAAGGAATGTCCACACATAAAAGTCATTTTGATGCTCTTTACTGGTGGTGTTCAGGAAATGGCAATACAGGCACATCACATTTTGGTCTCCTTTACCTAGGGTCATAAGTACTCACAGGACTGTGCTCCCTGAAGTCTCCTCCTTGCTTGGTACATCTCTCTTGGGAACCCTGTAGAGAAGCGGCCTCACAAAGGGATCTCCTGCCTGGCTTTTTGCGATCCGCCCAAGCCCCCACCTCCTGAATGACTACAGCTGGCTCCTACTATGTACAGGTACACTCCATCCAGCCTCCTGTCCACGGCCTACATGTGCCAATTACATCTTCATAGGTGTGGGGTGTTTGGCTCTCATGCCCTTCCCTACCTGACCTATATATGGGTGCTGACTCACCCCTGACATCACTGCAGGAGGGCTCTACCTAAAAGGACCAGGCACCTGAAGACCTTATGTACAGTGACCAGTCACTATTCTGGAACAGAGCTGCCTAGCTAACTACACCTGCCTACAAGCAATTTCTGGTGCTCCATGGTGACAAGGTGATTTTTCACCATGGTGAAGTGGTTTCGGCCTTCCATCTCAATCAGGATGCCTTCTTTTTGCCCTAAGCCTCAACACCCGGGAAGGGGGGGGCAAGACTCTCCATATGGTTCATGCTACCAGGATATATTTGAAGTTGACCACCATGATTCAGCAATCACATCCTCTCTGTGCTTCCTGAGGGACCAAGGAAAGGTCACACAGCTACCAAGTCTTCTATTCCCCATTGGATTTGTTGGCTTTTTTCTCAACGTTATGATTGGAAAGGAAAGGTTCCATTTTTATTGGTGATGGCTCTTTCTACCAGGAGTCTAGAAGCCTTGTCAGGGATCCGGGTATGACCAGAAATGTGTGGGAACACAGGCGTTGTCAGGGCTGGAGAGATGGAATGGTCAGGCAGGCTGTATGGGTCTGTAATGCACCATCTGGTGGTACCTCTAGCAACCCACAGAATAGGATTCCCCAGAGTGCGGTGTCTAAGTCCCAGTCTGCTTGTTCACCAGGG